TTTTTTGAGATGGAGTGTCACTCTGTTGCCCAGGCTGGAGTGCAGTGGCGTGATCTTGGCTCACCGCAACCTGGGTTCAAGCGATTCTCCTGCCTCAGCCTCCCAAGTAGCTGGGACTATAGGCGCATGCCACCATGCCCAGCTGATTTTTTTGTATTTTAAGTAGACATGGAGTTTTGCTGTGTTAGCCAGGGTGGTCTCGATCTCCTGACCTCGTAATCTGCCCGCCTTGGCCTCCCAAAGTGCTGGAATTACAGGTGTGAAGCACTGCGCCCAGCTGGCCTAGTCTTGTCTTTTTTTTTTTTTGGTGTTATGACTCGGATGCCTAGTCTTGTCTTAAACCCTCCTACCCCAACTGGGTGCAATGGCTCATGCCTGTAATCTCAGCACTTTGGGAGGCCGAGGTGGGCAGATCACCTGCCGTCAGGAATTTGAGACCAGTTTGGCCAACATGGCGAAACCCTGTCTCTACTAAAAATAACAAGAAATTAGCCAGGTGTGGTGACGGGTGACTGTAATCCTAGCTACTGGGGAAGCTGCGGCAGGAGAATTGCTTGAACCCGGGAGGTGGAGGTTGCAGTAAGTGGAGATTTTACCAGTGTACTCCAGCCTGGGTGACACAGTGATCTGTCTCGAACAAACAAGAAAACCCTACCCCTATCATGTCTCTCATCAGCCTGAGCTCCACCTTTACCTGCCAAAGGGGGCTTCGCTCCTGAGGGAAAAGTTCAAAGTACTTCTGTGCAAGTGGGACAGGAGGAAGAGTCTGTAGGCGCAGCCGTGTCCAACACTGAAGGAAGCGCACCAAGCTCTCAAAGGTGTACAGGCCCAGCCGGTCATTTCCGTAATTGGACAAATGGGTCATAAAGATGCTGATCTGCAAGGGGGTGCCTGCATGTCAGATTTGGAGAGCCTATCCCACCTCTGAAATAGACTTGGTGAGTAAAGGTCCCAGCCTGCAAACACCTTGGCTCTACAATCTTCTAGCCCTTCCTCTTGGTACCTTACCGGATTAAGCAGCACTGTTAGAAAGAGCTCTCCACCTCGGATGCTTCGGTCTAGTTCACGAGAGCCTCCAGGATACTCATTATAGAAGATTGTGTGAGTGAAGAGGCCACATGTCTGCCGGGGCAGCACCTGGAAGGAAAAGAAGAAACATGAGATTTGAAAGATAGAATGAGAAGTAGATGAAGGACACTGGGATTTGGAAAGGACTCAGTCTAAAGTTATACCAATAAAGCTCTTACTAACGGTGTTAAATTTTTTCATCCTTCTACCCCCTCTTATGTACCCCCATACTTGGACTGGCAATTGACAGAACATAGGTCAATGCATGTTGAAAGCTGTTTAAATGTGCGAGTTTGATTCAAGTTTGTATTGAGAGTCCTCACCATAATGCCATTGTGAATGAAGCCACGGCGGTAGCGGGCAGGGCGGAGATGGGGATACTCCTCAGTGCTGGTCACCTGGATGCCCCACACAGATTTCCAGGCCTCATAGAGCTGCGTGTGGATGGGGTACACGCCCGAGTGGTGGGGGGCCACAGCATACCCCAGATCCGTGGGAATCCCATGCTCCTGGGAATGGCATAGACTCTCACCGACCTGGTGAGGTTTGGGGAGTGGCGGGTAAAGAGGGTGGGGCAGCCTCCACAGAAAGAAAAACACAAAGGGTAGGAAAAGGGTAGCCCATAAGGGGAAGGTTGAAAAGGAAGCATGGCTGGGAGAAAGTATGGGGAAGAGATCCAACAGTCTCACCAGAGCAAACTGTTTGTTGAGCCTCATCTGGTCAGCGAGCACGGAGCGATTGTGGAACAGGTGTGGCTGCATGTGGCTCCACATGTGGGGGAACCACCAGAACTCTCTGCGGTGCTTCAGCAGCATGTCGTCCCCTGCATCCTCCTCCTCTGTCCCTATGACCACACGCTGACCACTGACCACAGCCAGTCAGCCCCTGTTCCCGCCTTTGTTTTGTAACAACACTGACCAACTTCCATCCCTGGGACAACCCTACTGATCCTTGCCTAAGACATTCTATTTGCCCCACTGCCAATTTGCCCTCCAGCCACCCATGTGAACCTAAATTCATGCCCACTGGCTCCTTATAGTAGTCTGACCCCAAACCTTGACCCTTTTATCCAACTTGTCTATCCATGGAGGTAGACAGTAAAGGGACAGATCAAACTATGATATGCTGATGGAGTAGGAGAATAAGCTCACCAGTATGATAGAACTTGCCCGAGAAGCCCAAGTTGAAGGTGAAGTTGGGGACTAAGGTCCTGAGTTTGTTCTGGGTGGTCAACAGAGCCTGGGAAGAGTAGCAGAGACATGAGAAATCAGGAGAGCAGACTGAACAGGTAATAACACGAGAAGTAGCATTCTTCCTGCTTGGAAAGACAGAGAGTATACCTATGACAAGCTACGAATCAAGGGAGTCTGACAGGCCAGAGTGTGAGTAGCTTCTAAGAAGAAATTTAAGTGACAAGACTAACCTCAACATCAGCCACCTTCATGCGGGTCCCTTCCTTGCCCACAAAGATGTCATCAATGTCTACCAAGATGTAGCGGTCAAGGTCCAGGCAGAGGCGCTTGCCAGTGAGGTATGCAACAGCATCGACGAAGATAAGTTTGTGGAGCCAGAAGGAAAGGCCGTGGCCAAAGAGCACCCGCTGGATGCCATCATGAAGCCCCAGGTCCTGTACCACAGTGGGAAGCCGGGCCCGACGAGGAACCGGTCCTGGCACCAGGGGCTCAGCTGGCCGAAGGCTGGCAAGAAGCACTGGTTCATATGTACTGTGATTGGATTGGAAGATGGTCCAGTCATCACCAGGCAGTGGGCCTGGTTCTAGGCGGCTGGGGCGTGTGAGATGCAGTAGGGGTGCAGAAGGATTCACTTGGTAGTCCCGGAGCCCCAAGTTTGAGTGTAAAAAAAGGGGAAAGCCCTTGAGCTGGGCACTCAGTAGGCTGTGTTCATGGGCTCGGAAAAAGCCAATGATGCCCACACCATACTCCACACAGTACCGGTCTAACAGTTCCCGACTCCAGGCATCCAGGTTGACATACTTGAGCAGGTTCTCATAAATGACCAAGACATAGCGGCCATGGGTATTATCAGTCAATGTGGGCATGTCCCCTCGGCCAGGTGCCAGCTCAGTGCTATACCGAAAACGACTAGACTCCAGGATGGCCACAATTTCCTGCCCCAGCTGTGAGTATGCACTTTCCACAAACACAAGGACCACGGGTTCAGTTCGAGCTGTCTCTGGAGGCCTAGGGGGCCGAGGTGGAACTGGAGGCCGTGCAGGGCCAGGACCAGCTGCCCCACTGCTGCTGCAGTCTCCCAAAGGCAGGGGCAAAGGTTCCTTGGCCTTAGGGCTGGTGGACACATAGTACGCCAGGAAGCCCATGGAGCCCAGGCTGAAAGCGATCAGCAGCAGTATGAGGCGGTGCAGTTCCAGCTGCCGAGCTGGGCGTACCACCTTCCACAACTGGAGCATGGCGGGGGGGACGAAAAAAGGAGGGAATGGGGACCCCCTTAGGGGATGGGAGGTAGGAGTTCTATAGGCTAGGACTGTCTTGGAAGGCTAGAAGGACAGAAAAATAGGGGCAAGGGATTCCCTTAGGGGCCGTTTCCTTAAGAGGTGGCAACGAGTCACCTTAGTATAGGGTAAAGGAGGTAGAGGGGGAAGCAGGGGGCCACTATACAGAGACCACTAGTCTCAGGTCACCATGGCCCCCTGGCCCATGGCTTCAGGCTGCAAATCTTGCCAGGCTCTCCCCTTGGCCCTGGCTGAGTGCCTCACATCAAAGGTCAGTAAAGTTCAACCTCTGGCACGCCTACCTGTAAGAGAGAAATCAGTGGGTTACTCTTCTCTCTGAAACTGTCATTAATCCATTCTCCTCCCCATCCCATCTCTTACCTCCTGCTTACTGGCTAATCTGTTCTCAAAAAAAAAAAAAAAAAAAAAGCTACTGTAGGAGAACACAAGCTGAGGCCTATACCTTAGCTTCACAGCTTGTTCCCTTTCCCTTTCTTAGACACCCAAATGAATGTCCAAATTCTCCTCGATAAGCAAAGCTCAGAGATGGAGCAGTATATGCAAATGCTAGAAGGGAGCTAATTTCCCATCAACAAGAGGCTAAACATCCTAGAAGGCTAAAAACAGGCCTGCTCTGAAAGGAGTTCCTAGCCTGTGACTGAGCAGTTGGCCAGTGAGCAACAGCTCTGATCTTTCTGTGAGGAAGCCCCTTTTGGGGGCTTTATTTCAGAAAGCCCCAGAAGTCCCATGCTCAAATGAAATATCAGATAAGAAGGAACTCATGAGTCTATTAATCTTCCTCATCGATCAAACCCAACATCACAGCCAACAGAATTAACGAACTTGCAGTCAGGCGGACACTATGGTGAGGGAGTTCAAAAGGAAAGAGTGGTCCTCATGATAGCTAATCATTCTACCAGTTTCCAAACCCAGAACTTAGGACTCCCTTACCCGTTGCTTGTGAAACATTACCTGCCCCTGACCTTCACATCAACTATGCCGGTCAGGAAAGGAGATAAAAATGTAACCCCAGGGCAGGCCATACACTGGGCGCTGAGAAAAGCCAGACAGCTGAGTCCACTCTAGTTCTCCTTCCTAACTTAGCCAAAGTGGTTCTACAACCCTATTCTTGAACAGCTCAGAAGAATCCCTGAACTAGCCTGGAGAGACATGAGGTATTGAAGCCAGTTACACAAATAGGACAACTTGAGTAAGGACTGGATGACAGAGAGCAATAGGAACTTAAGTCATATCCAGCCAATGACAGAAAAAAAGAGTCAGGACAGTGTGATCAGAAAACAGTTTTAAGGAAGCCTAATTTTGGGGACCTCTTTTGTTTTATTTATAATTTTCGAGATGGAGTCTTGCTCTGTCACTCAGAATAGGTGGTGTGATTATAGCCTACTGCAGCCTCGAACTCCTGGGCTCAAGTGATCCTCCCACCTCAGCCTCTCATGTAGGTGAGACTACAGCTGTGCACCACCACGCCCTACTAATTTTTAATTTTTTTTTAAGAGATGGGGCCTTGCTATGTTGCCCAGGCTGTTGAACTCCTGGGCTCATGCAATCCTCCTGCCTCAGCCTCTTATGTTCTTTTTCTTAAATCGACTGCTTCTAAAAGTTTTATTGTCACTATCCTCACCTCAGCCTCCTCATAAGGCTGGCAATCTGTCTCTACCACCCACCCCCATATACACACATCTCGGGTGATAAGGCAGAGCTGGGGTCTTTCAGAATTGACAAGAGATGATTTAAAAACAGTTCAGGTCAGGCATGGTGCCTCACACCTGTAATCCTAGTGCCGTGGAAGGCCAAGGCAGACCGATCACCTGAGGTCACGAATTTGAGACGAGCCTGGCCAACATGATGAAACCCCATATCTACTGCAAATACAAAAATTAGCTGGGCATGGTGGTGGGCGCCTGTAGTCCCAGCTACTCGGGAGGCTGAAGCTGAAGAATCACCTGAACCCGGGAGGCGGACGTTGCAGTGAGCTGAGATCGCACCACTGCACTCCAGCCTGGGTGACAGAGTGAGACTCTGGCAAAAAAACAAAACAAAACAACAGTTCGGCTTTGGCCCAGGTAAAACTAACGACATGAGAAGAGAGCTGGGGGAGAGAATCAAAATGGTGATGGGAAGGGGTGAATGCCAAGAATCTGATGTAACTTTAAAGAAAACATCGTAGCGAGGAGGTCACTGACGGGAAGTCGGTACTCAGGGTATATCACCCCAAATTTGAGAACTTACAACTTGCCAGCCATTTTTCTAAGAGCTTTACATATATTTAATCCTTACACCAGCCCTAAGAGGTAGGGAAGAGGTACATGCTCCATTATCCCCATTTCACATATGAGTAACTTGAAGTCCAGAGAAGCTTAGAAACTTGCCCAGGGTCACACAGCTCAGTCGGTGGGAGGGCTGGGATTCGCCGTCAGGCCTGTCAAGCTCCAGAGCCGCGTTCTTGGCCGCTGCATTTTAGCTTCATACCTGGAAGCAGCAGCAAGGTTTAGGGAAGGGGCACCGTGGGCACTGCGGGCACCGCAGGCCGGGGCCAGTGAACACTGAGGGCCAGGAGGGCTGGGCAAGGTGGGTGTGTGCCGGGCGGGAGGTCTCAGAGGAGGGCGAAGCCAAACGGGGGCCGGGCCTGGACTGGGGGAGGCCGGGACGGCCAGAGTAGCGGCGCGGAGGCTGCGGGCGGGGGCGCCGAGGGGGCTGGGGGCCGGCGGGCGGGGGAGCCTCGCCGACGGGAGACGCAGGCACAGGTGGATGCGAAGAGCGCCCCGGATGTGGGACACCAAAGGGGAAGGAGCCACGGGCACGCGGAGGCGACTCCAGAGTGACATCGAGACAGGGTCTGGGATGGGAGAACCCTGAGGGAAGGAGGGAGCCCGCTCGGTCCTAAGGGGAGCGAGGCGGCTCTGAGGGAGGCCGGCGGAAGGAACCCGGGGCGCGGCGCGAGCTGGGCCGCTCGGGACGACCCTGCTGGTGGTGATGGTGGCAACACTCGAGGGAGTCTGTGGGAGGGAGTCTGTGGGGCGGGGGGGAACTGAGCGCGACGGTGGGCGGGTGTGGGGGGTCTCCTCAAAGGCAGCTCACCCGTAGGACTGGGCGGCGTCCCCGCTGTCCCCGGGCTCCGCCGCGTCCCGGGGCTGCCCGGCTTCCCTGCTGTCGGGGCCACGGGCCGCGTCGCGGCTGCTCCGCCATCTCTGAGAGAACGCTCTGCCGCAGCCTGGCCCAACCACCGCTCCCACCGGGGGAGGCGGCGCGCCGCCGCTAGTGGCACCCGCTCGGTTCCACTGGCTCCAGCCCGGGCAGCCGCGCGACCTCGGTGCCAGGACACCAAGAGGCCCTCCACAGTGCCTGGCCGAGCTGCAGCCTCCGAGACGGCGGGCTCCGCGCCCCGCCCGCGGAAGCGCACCCCCGCCTCCCCGCACGATGGCACCGCCCGCCGAGCGTCTGGCAAAGCTGCTCCGGAACAGGGGCGGGCTCAGGCCTGGGCTCATCCACTCAGCCCCGGGGAGGGGGAGCCGGGCCGGCCCACTCGGGGAGGGGAGGAAACGGAGCGGTCCAGCCAGGGGCGGGGCAAGGGGCGGGGCGATGCCCTTAGCCGGCCCCCAGGGCACCCACTCTCCCTCCCTGCCTCGCCTCCGCAGCACCTAGCACTGGTTGGAGGCTGAGGAGTATATAAGTTTTTTTTTTTTTTTTTTTTTTGAGTGGGAGTCTCACTCTGTCGCCGGGGCTGGAGTGCAGTGGCGCGATCTCGGCTCACTGCAACCTCCGCTTTCCCGGTTCAAGCCATTCTCCTGCCTCAGCCTCCTGAGTAGCTGGGATTACAGGCGCCCGCCACTACGCCCAGCTAATTTTTTGTATTTTTAATAGGGACGGGGTTTCACCATGTTGGCCAGGCTGGTCTCCAACTCCTGACCTCCGTGATTCGCCCGCCTCGGCCTCCCAGGTGCTGGGATTATAGGCATGAGGAAGTTTTATTCTCAAAAGGACCCAAAGGGAGCAGGAGGGGAGGTACCTCTCTCCAACCTAGTAACCCAGGCTGCTGAATTTTTTTTTTTTTTTTTTTNAGGCTATTTAGAAGTGTGTTTTTATTCATTTCCAAACGTGGGGTTTCTCTAGTTTCTTTTTGGTTGATTTCTAGCTCAGTGACATTATAGTCAGAATACACACTTTGGATGATTTCAATCGTGGAAATTTGTTGAAACTTGCTTTATGGCCCTGTCCAAAAAAAAAATGGTTCGTTTACGGTCATCATAAAAATGGCCAATTTTTATAGATACTCTGTGTGCTTGGAAAGAATTTGTATTGTGCTCTCATTGACTTTGTCATTCCATTCTGTATATGTTTACTAAGCCACATTTGCTAATGACATTGCTCAAATCTTATATAATTTTACTATTTTGAAGGCTATTTCTCTCAATAACTGAGAAAAATGTATTCAAATTTCCCTCTTGTGATTATAGATTTGTTTATTTCTTTTCTTATTTCTTCCTATTTTTATTTTTTTAACCTTAGTTTCTAGTTGGACTAGAATATTCTTCCCAGTTTGCTTTATATTTCAAGAGCTTGTTTTGAGGAACATAAAAATATAGAAGTCTTTCTTACAATTTTTACAAATGTAAGCTGAATTTGTTTTATGTTTTTTTTAAGTCCTGGTAATGTTTGTGCTTTTTCTCGCCAGAGATTTGTCATATATTTTACTTTTTTTATGTTTGTTGCCCTTTTGTTCTATGTTTATTTGTGTTCTTTGTTAGTTTCTTCCATTTTCTCACAATTTATTTTGCTATAATTTCTCTAACTTTTTAAAATGAAGTTTTTAGGTTTCTTCTTATACAAACATTTTAGGATATAACACTTGTTCTTTGTATTATTTTAGCTGAATTTGCAAATTTTTATCTATATTTTAATATTGATATGTCCTAAACATTTTCTAACTCCATTATGATTTTCTTACATTTATGAGCTATTCAGAAATATTTTTAAAATATTATATATATATGTGTGTGTGTGTGTGTGTGTGTGTGTGTATGTGTGTGTGTGTCCTAGTTGTTATTTTTGTTTTTAATTTATAATTTGATTTTGTTGTAGTCAGAGAATGTGGTCGGTATGATACTTATTCTTTGAAATTTGCCCTAGTCTAGGTAACACATAGTCAATTTTCACAATTATTCCATGTAAAAATATGTATTTGCTTGTTGTTTGGTTAAGGATTCTGTGTATATTCACTAGATGAAGATTCCTTTATCATTTGTGTTCTTCAGATCTATTATGGCCTTACTAAATTTTGTCTGCTTTATTTATTGTTCACTGAGAGAACTTTCCCATTACAATTGTGGATTTCTCAGTTTCTTCCTGTAATTTAGTCATGTTTTGTTTCATTGTTTAATGGGCCTTAAGACTGTAGTATTATGGTCCAATTGGTTTAAACTGTTGTGTGTTCCTGGAGAATTTAACCCTTTATTATTATTTGGTGACTTTCTTTTCTTTTTTTTTTTTTTTTTTTTTTTTTTTTTTTTTTTTTTTTTTTTTTTTTTTGAGTTGGAGTCTTGCTTGGTCGCCAGGCTGGAGCGCCGTGGGGCAATCTCGGCTCACTGCAACCTCCCCCTCCCGGGTTCAAGTGTTTCTCCTGCCTCAGCCTTCCAAGTAGCTGGCATTACAGGCACACGCCACCACGCCTAGCTAATTTTTGTATTTTTAGTAGAGACAGAGTTTCACCATGTTGGCCGGGATGGTCTCCATCTCTTGGTCTCGTGATCCCACCTTGGCCTCCCAAAGTGCTGGGATTACAGGCGTGAGCCACCCGCGCAGGACCCAGGCTGCTAAAATCTACACCTCTGGCTGTAAGCCTCCAACAGCAGTAACACAATGGACTGTTTAGAGGTTATTTTATTAAATATCTTCAGTTCAAGGTTTCCTTGTAACAAAGCTATGAAGGGTCTACCAACATTCAGAACAAACACTATTTTTAAATTATTTCTATGTCATGCAAAAATTCTGCATCAAATGCCTTCCATTTCTTGTTTAAAAGGTGATTTTTTTTTCATAGTCTATTGTCTATAGATGCTGACATTAGCCCCAGAAGAGGAGTAAGAATGCTAAGAAGTAGGGCTGGAGCAGCCATATGAAGCTATGGGTCTCAATAAATTCTAAGACCATATGTCTTCAAACCAGCGAAACGAAACCCTGTGGTGAAGGGATCTGCGTGCTGGCACTGCAGACTGCAGGGCAGGAAAGGGCTAGGGCCCAGGGGCTGGGACATGCATGAGGTGCTCGGAGGAGCCTGGCTAAATCCAAGCACCAGCACCTGTGAGTCTGCTCTCTTCTCAGCTGTCTCCCAAGTAAACCTGTAGCTTTGCCTCTTCTCCCAGCTCTTGTGCCTCCTGAAGGTAGTCCAGAAAGCTGGAATCTACCCACCTTTACCCCAAAAGTGCAGATGTTTGTGCAGATAAATCTGCAGTGTTGTTTTGAGGGAAACCAAGGCCATAACCAATTGCTCCTCCATTATCTTCTCTGCTATCTGCTTAGGGTATAGATCTCTTCCTCCTGGAATGGAACTCCTTGAGCACAGAGAGGGACAATGAAGGTAGAAGCCTTGGCTCTGGACACCTCTTTTGGGTTACATGCGGGGAGAGGTGATGCCCATGCAGATTGTCCAGCAGTAAGTCTATTCTTCAGTTGGTCAATAAAGAGGCCTCTGTAAGGACACCTCTTCTTCTTGCCAGAGCAGTCAGGTCAATCTCAAAGACAGGAAAAGAGATGGACGTGCAGCAAGGAAGAATAAGAAGGGAGGCAGCCCCAAGGGCAGCCTGAATGCATAGAAATGACCATCACCTCTTCTCCCACTGCCTCATTCCTCCCATTCCACAGTAGCACTTGGCAGAGTGCCCAGGCCCCGATGAGGGTCAGCATGGGGACCACCACCATGAAAAGGCAAGACAAAGATGGTCCAGATCAGCACAGAAACAACCGCCAAAGGCAGCACGGGGAGCCCTGACTAGGGCCCGGCTCTCTCCTTGCTGAGTTAGAAGAAAACACGAAGCAAAGCAGCAGCAACCCCTCCCCCTCCTAGCTGCAGGCATAAGGCCTCAATATCAGGGCCCACATGCATTGTGCATCCTATAGAAATGGATGAGTGAGTGAGTGCATGTCAGACTAACACGAGGTTTCTCATCGGCTTCATGGCGGGCACACTTCTGCAGCACCAATTCTCTTCCTTTCTACACTAAATGAGACAGTACAGCAACGTCCAGGCCCTTAGTCCTGAGGCCACCACTTCTCAGCTGCCTCCACAGCAGGCTGGGAGCTCTTCGTTCTCTCCCAAGTAGGTCTGATGGTCACGATGTTCTCATCAGCCTCATTCTAGGCACCTATGCAAGTTCCAAAGAAGTCCATTCCTAGACCTGGGGTAAGCATGCCACCTCAGGAGCTGCAATCACATCACAGCTCCCAAACCTCTGTCAGAGTTCTTGCCTGATCCCCTTGAGTCCATGGGGACCAGAGGCCAAGCTCACCTCTTCAAGGCCGGTGGGTGAGCCTGCTGCTCATGCCAGGATGGACCTCATACAAACTCCTGCCTTCTTGCCAACCCAAGGGCTGTCGGTGGTTTTAAAACGCATCATGGTACGGATTCCTTTTTTTTTTTTTAAACAAACTTTTTTTCTTTTTTTTCTTAAATGTAAAAAACACCTCGGTACAGCAGAGACAGACACGAAGGGCGGGCGGGAGGGCTGCATGCAGGGGCGTGCATTGGCTGCTGCCGCTTTTGTAATTGAATTGTTTTAAACCTCAAACAAACAGGACTGCCGCTGTCACTCAGGCCCTCCAGAGCCACTGGCTGCGAAGGTTCGACCTCTGGCTGGAATCTCCTAATGCCCCTGTCAAACAGGACAGAACGTGGTAACAGAACAGAGGACAATGAGCACACGGATGAGTTCCAGTAACTTCAGCACGCTATACACGTTGCCAAGTCTGCCTGAGAAGGTGGGGAAAGTGGGTGAAGCTAATGTTTAAATACAAAACTGCCTCCCATTTGCTAAGCACTTAAGTGTTTTACTTACAGTATCTTACTTAATCTTCACAATGATTAAATGAGGTAGGCACCACTCTTTGCCTTTTTTTGACAGCTAAGGAAACTCAGTTTAGGGAGGGGAAGTAGCCTGTCTGAGGTCACCCAATTTGGAGTCATGGAGCCAGATTGGGTGATTTCCAAGCGTAACTTATTGAAACCATTCTGCCCAGGTTTTGCCAGTCCTCTGGGATCACACACCTGAACTCAGGACCATGTGACTCTAACTAAAGCCTATAGATTTTCTATTCTGTTAGGCTGAGTTTAGATTTCGTAAGTCTCCTCTCCCAGGCCACCTCCCAGCCTTCTCTTCTTCCTCTGACCCCACCGGTCTGTCCCAGGCCCTCCCAGCCCCTCTCCCCCAACAACCAAGTGCACCTGTGGCTGAGCTCACTGCAGCGGTGCGGCAGGGGCCCCTGAGCAGTGATAGTGGACATTGAGCCACTTGCCATCCCGACGGTGCCAGACCCGGGTCTCTTCCGACTGGCTGGTACGAGGCCGACCCTGCCCGTCGATGTACTGGGTGAGGCGGATGTAGGCGATGCATGCTGCGTCCTCCCCAATCACGTGGACATGTGGGTTTAGGATGGTGGTATGGATGGGCTTGCTGTTCTTGGACAGGACTGCAGGGCAGGGTCAGGTAGGTAAGAGGACATCAGGCCTGGGCACCTGCATTTTACTCCCAGCCTGTACTTCCAAGTCTTACCATCTCCCCAGCACCAAGTCCCCTCAACACCCTCCAGAGGTCAAGATACCACATTACATTAGTCTCCCTTATCCAAAAGGAACAGAAAGTGGGTAACAATGATAGTAGCAGCTGCTCTTTTAATCAGGCATTGTGCCGGGAGTTTTACATGCCCAAACTGTATTTCTTGGTGGACAATATTTTCTTCATTATAAGATAAGGAAATAGGTTCAAGGAATAATTTGCTCAAATGACACACCTGAACTCAGGACTGTGTGACTCTAACTAAAGCCTATAGATTTTCTATTCTGTTAGGCTGAGTTTAGATTTCATAAGGCTCAGCTTGCCCCTAGCTAGGGCTGCAGAGCAAAATCATGAACTTAAACCATTCAAAATTGATTTGTAATTTTTTTTAAAGGCACCAAAGCTGAAATAGAATCACCAAAGCACCAAGCTCAGGATATTCCCAGGTTCTCTGGGGAAAAGGCAAAAGAAGGTGGATTGCCATTATTAGCATATGCTGTGAAAATTGTTGCTTTTATTGAGATTCACATTTTAGTTCAATTCAAACGTCAGACAGGGGCTACATGCCACCTTCCTAGAACTAATATAAACTCTGGAATTACTTCTGGCTAATAGAATTACTTAGATAGCTGAGAGCTTACATAGGCAGCTGAGATGTGATAGGGTGGGAGTCAGCAGAGAAGTTAGTGACTAACTACACCTCAGGGCAGGATAGGGAAGGCCCCCCATAAAATGGGAAGAGATAAAAATAAGGAGGGGGAGGGTCTCATAGAGTAGAGAGGAAGATGGGAGGGCGTGATGATTCAGCTTCTTATCCCCTTATCTTCCACGAACTGTCCAGAATGTACACCACCCCCCATACAGGACGCCTGCCTTCCTCCATAGTCAGGAAGATTCTAGCCACAACTTCCGATCTCACAAATCACCAACGGTGCCCTGGTTTGCCCATTCTTATCCTGATTTTAATTTCCTCTACCGTGAAACCTGCAGACACAGAGCTTAGTTCTTATGTGCTAAGATCATCTCAACCTAATCTCAAAGGGTTTCCAGTCCTTGGAAAGAGGTGAGGCTTAAAGAAATAAGTGAACTTGATTGTGGTGACTGGCATTGCCACGAAGCAGCTGCAGAATGAATGGGCACTTGGGGATCAGGAGCAGTGCCCTCAAAGGTGCCTGTTTATGACCATCGGGGCACAAGGAGGCAAGCATATAGAGTAGAGCAGCATGAAGGTCAAATAAGGGAAAAGTGGGCAACTGGGATGAGAAGGTGAGCAGGAGACAGAAGCAAAGGGGTGAAGGGGCAGGCAGGAGTATATCAGCAGCACGAACCCACTCACGATTCTCAAAGTAAAACTTATGGAAATCCATCCCCTCCACGAGGTTACCAAGGGCCTCAGGCTCAAAGGAAGTGAGGCCTGGATCACAAATCTTCCTGCAGGGGGGGAGAAAAAAAGGCAGCCTGTCAGGCTTCTATGGAGTGACTTGTCTTCCTTCCCCATCAGTGGTGTCTATCCAGTAGCAGCAGGCTAGCTGTGGCCATGCCAGACAAGTCAGCGAAGATCTTCCAGGTCTGCCTATTGAGTCACTCAGCCCTGTGCTTTGGGCCCACTGCCAGGACACCATGGGTGAGCTCAGGGAATCTACCTGGAAGAGTTCCCAACTTAGGAAAGCTTAATTCAGATACTTTGCCCAAAGTCCAACTTCCCTTTCCTCAGGGTCCTAACAGTTGTCTGGAGGCAGGGAAGGCATTGGGAGATGACTTAGATGGGTGTCTACTTACGTGTAGGCGTCAAAGTCCCCATTGTTGATGGCTTCAATCAGCTGTTCTGTGATCTTAATGATCTCCTGTTTTCGCACTGTAGGGGAGAAAAATCCATCAATTTACTTACTGGGGAACCTCCCAAGTGACAGAGAGCCTTCCCCAGTCCCCAGGGAGTCCCTGTGATCGCTGTGACAAAGACATCCCTCTTCTCGGTCTCTAGGGCCCTTGGCAGGAAGAGTGAGCCCACCTTCCCTTCTACCTCCCTCTCTGCAGTCTGCAGAGACAATAACTACCACCTCCTGAAGCCCAGCCATTAGTTACAGATCTTTGGCCTTTGCCTCCCTCTCCATCAACAACCAGGTTGTGGAAAACACACTTGCCTTTAACAGGTGAGGAGACTGGTACATCCTGAATGCTGTGAGGCCCTCCCCTGTATGAGCAGCCTCTCTCACAAGTATCTCCCAATAAGGCTGCTTCCACCCCCAATTTACTTCTTTCACCTAAAGGGGCTCAGTCAGGTCTCAATCACCACCCCTACTCTTAGCCCTCATTCAATGGCCAGGACCCAGCCCTGGGCGACAGGCAGCCTGACAGCAGAACCCAGCTACGGCTGGGGTGCCGAAGGACCAGCAGAGCCCTAGGATGGATGCTTCCCACTGCTCATCAACTCCATAGGGCTTTTCTGGGAGGAACGATCCCGGAATTGTAAAAACTTGTGACAAGCGTCTACCTGAGAGGCTGCTCCATTTACCTCTCAAGGCTTGGGAAAGCTGTACATTTCACACCAGCTCTCATGCCAGGATGTGTTCCTCAGGAAAATCAGAAAGGGCTCAGGCTGACAGGCAGGCAGAGATGGTGCCCACCAGAACCCTCCTCCCCACCCCATCCCAAGCCAATACAGGTCCTGCCAGCAAGGGCTTCTCTAACAGGGAATACCACTAGCAGCAGGGACTGCTGCCAGGGTAAGAGAGGGCTCAGATTGAGCTTGGGCTCATCCTAACCTGAGCCCTGGGCTGGCCCAGGCCACAAGTCTTTCCTATAGGAGCAAAAGGCTGCAAGACAACTGCAAGCGTTAGACCACCACCACCACGGCCCAGCTGGGCCAGCACAGCCAAGCAGCACAGCAGGGACAGGGCAGCACAGCCAAAGGCGCATCCAGGAAGGGCCCCACAGCCATCAGCCCTGCTAGGCCTCAGCTCCAGGTGAGCAAGCAGTAGGTTAGGGGAAGCAAAGAGTTCAATCAGCTTCCTAAAGTAGCAGGCAGGTGTGCACCCACAACACACACACCCTCTCCAACCCCCCTAGACCCATCTAGACGACCTGACTGGGGCCCCACGGGTGAAGAGGGTTGTGCTTAGAAACTCTACAAGGATAGATGGTGGGAGGAAAGGCAGCAGACAAAGGCATCCTCCAGCACAGGTATAACTACAAATATGAGGATGAGCTACTGATGACCCATCGAGGCACCGTATCAAGACTTCCTACTGCCTCGTCTGTTTTCTAACAAGACTCTGAAGTGCGTGCCATTTTATTTCCACATTACAGATAAGGAACCTGCAGCTCTGGGAAGTTAAACTTCACACTCTTGAAGGCAGTGTGGCTGGGATTTAAACTCAGATCTGTCTTGCCTCTGACTCTATGTTCTTAATATGTTATGCTGAGCCTCAGGAAGCACTACATCCCCAACACAGTTCCTTGTTGGCACGATTTCCCCCATCACCCCCCTCTCACCCCACAGACCTGACTTCTGACTCTGCCCTTCTTCCTGGCTCGCTGAGGCAAAGTCCATGGCATATCCCAGGGGCTTCTACACCCCCAACCCCTAGGCCATGTTCTTCCACCCCTCTTCCTTCTTTGGGCCCCAGACTCAGGGGCCCTGGCATGGTCTCAACAGCACCTCTAATCGTCCCCCCACCCCTAGCAGACACTGTGCTCCCGGAGCTTACTAGCATGGGAAGCTGGGCTGGGCTGACAGCTCTGGTGGGGGTCCCTTAGGGGCTTCAGGACGAGCCAGGGAGACGGAAGCCAGAATATGCCTCCCTCACACTTACTGGCTGAGGAGCAGAGAGAAGGCTGGGGCTGCATGCCTGTAGAGGGGGCTGTTCTGTCCCGGGAGCTCCGTCCTTCAGGCACCGAGCTGCCATTCCCAGTGCGGAGCGGGGCAGCTAGCCAGCCAGGGCAGGGCAGGGCAGGGCAAGGCAGAGCAGCCAAAACAAACAGAACAAGGCAGGTGAGCGAGCAAGCCGGACAGGACCCGAGCCCGTGGCGATGCAGAGCCGGGGCAAGGGGACGCCTCACGTCGGGCTGCTGTGGACACTGGACCACATCCCACGCCGCCACCTCTGCCAGAGAGGCCTCCCAGCTGATGGCACCAAGCAGGTGCCCATATCTGGACTGTGGCTTCCAGACAAGCCTTACAACAGCCTGTCCAAGGACCCCTGCTCCCAGGGAAGATGTTCCAGGGAGCCAGGCCACAGGGTCCAGAGTGCCCAGCAGCGCCGGAATCGAACCGATCTGACCTCTCTCACAGGGCACTGGAGCTACTATGGTTCACTTTCTTGCTTTCTGTTTTCTCTTTTTTTGGTTCCAAAAGGGTTGGTGTTCCCTTGCCACCCCGGGCATGCTCTCCCAGCTCTGTCCCATAGTGTTCCTCTGTTTTTTTCTGATGGCCTGGCCCAAGGTCACTTACTAAATTCAGGCAAAGGGAGCGATTCCAGGAGGTCCAACCAAAGAGCAGGACAGAGATTCCCAGAGGTCTGGCTTGCTATGCCCTTCCACCCCGCCCCCAGCACTCTAGCCAGGCCCAAGCTTAGGCTGGTGGTCCTTACGGGGTCATGAGGACATGACCAAGTGTGGCCTCACGGTTGTCAGATTCATTCCAACACCATCATTCAGGCTAAGATCTTAGGACTAGAGTGACCAACTCATCTCAGTGTTCCCATGACTATCTGGGTTTTACATTTATATATATATATATATATATATAT